TAGAAGCTGGAAGTTAAGCCTGAGGGGGTAGCCTCGCAGATGGGGTAGTTTTTGTGCGGTGAAGAGAAGAGCTAAGGCCATCACAGGCATATTTGTAAAAGGCCTGTAAGCCACTAACATTTAGAGGCTCAGTGCCATCTGGGTTTCCCTCCACTTGAAAGGTGAGAGAGAGGGAAGGGGGAGGGAGAGAGACAAAGACAGAGAGAGAGAGAGGTTGATTCCATCTGCTGGTTCACTCTCCAGGTGGCCGCAATGGCCAGTAATGAGCCAGGCAGAAGCCAGGAGCCAGAAGCTTCTTCTGGGTCTCCCATATGGGTGCAGGGGCCCAAGCACTTGGGCCATCTTCTGCTTCTTTCCCAGGTGCATTAGCAGGGAGCTGGATCAAAGTGGAGCAGCCAGGAGATGAGCCATTGCCAGTATGGGATGCTGGCGAGGCAGGCATCGGCTTAACCTGCTAAAGCAGTGCCGGCTCCTGACGCTCCTTAAGGCTGTTTCCTGAATGCCCCTTCTTCCTCCTGGCCCTGAATAGAGCCCCTCCCATTCCCTGTACTTCCCGTCTCCATGCCACCTAAGCTATGGCTTGGAAATCCCTGAGCACGAGGGTGACTCCCAAGCCTATTCATGGTCACTGTTCTGAAAGGGCTTCGGGCTAATAACGGAACATGCTGAGCTGTTCCCAAGCTCCAGACCCACACTTCCGGACACCTCGCACTTAGAGTACTGTGGGGCAGGAAGGTGGAAATCAGCCTGTGTGTGTGAGGGGCCTAAGGAACATGAAGCACCTGGGAAAGGAATGTAGCAGAGCCTCCAGCATCTCTGGGTTTCACAGGACAAAGTGCAGCCTGTACCCCGTAACCTTACAGGTGGTCCCAGCCTTTCCCCCAAGAAAAGCACCCCGGGAGAATCTTCTCTGTCCAGAGCCAAGAGGGCTAACCGGTCTGGTTGGGTAATAAAACCTTGGGAGGAGCTGTACCTATTTCACACCAGGAAACCCTTTGTCCAGGAGAAGGGGGTAGGGGGAAGGAGGGGCAGCGGGGAGACCTGGACCCCGTTCCCTTATAGGCCCGGCCTGGGTACAGACTGTGAGCTCCGCTCTGAGTTCTCAGCTCCCAGGTTTTGTTATGAGGTGCCCACCTGGCCTGTCGGGTGTATTCTTTCCTGTAAACTTTGTAAGCTTGCTCGCCGCAGTCTGAGCGACCGGGCCCTGTGAGATCCCATCCGGAGAGGCACCATCCACCCGATCCCACTCCACCTTGGGGCCTTGCTTGCCGCTCCTCTGCGCCTCCTGCTTGAATTCTTTCTTGCGCCAGGACAAGAACCTCTGGGCGGCCATCTCCACTAACAGCAGCAAACCCGGACCTCCAGTGGCTCTCTTTCCTTCCAGGGTGGGCCTGGGACCCTGTCTGTTGTGTTACAGTTTCTCTGTGCTCCTCACTGCGGGCTCAACTTCTGGGCCCCTAATTCCACTCATCCAACCTTCCAGGCAATTCCCAGCTCTGGAAGATTCTGCTCCTTCCCCCTCTCCTTGGCATTTCCCCTCTCGGGCGCTGAGCTTTGCTCCCTGGGGCTGAAGCTCTGCACAGCCCCTTCCCCGGGGCCCCGCCTTTTCTCTTCCAGCCTCCGCCATGTCCTGTCCAGCCATGCATCCTAAAGTGTGGGTCTGCCCCTGCAGCGCCGGTGAATTGGTTGGGAGCCACTCAGCCTAATGGCCTTCGTGTCACAGCTTTGCCAGTCTCATCTTCCCATGGATGTGTCCCTCATACTCCAGGAACACTGGTTTGCTTCTTGTCCTCCACGTTCACGAAGGCAACTGCAACTCAGCCCCAACTCTGGCCCCTGCAGTTCGTGCCACTGGAAGGCCTTCTCCCAGGCCCCGCTCTCACTTCCGTCTTCCTGTTGACTTCAACCAACGTGTCAAGCCCAGTTCAGCTGCCATCTTCCCTATAGAGACTTTCCCATCATTTTGGCCTGTGGCCTGTGTGTTTGCTCCCTCTTTGCAACTGTCTTAGGAATTAGAATGAAAAACACTTGTCCCTTCTTGCCCCGGTCTTTTCTGTCCCTAGGACGGTCTGCTCCGTGGCCTCCCAGCCAGGTGTCTCTTCCCCAGGTATTTTTAGAAACAGAGTTTGTTATGGTTCAGTGTTGGTTCCCTTTCAGGAAGCGGGTGCTGGGTTGTCCCTTGCTGCAGGTGGGGGATTACCAGCGAAGCCACTGGCCGGGCTTTCCTGGCCCTATTTCCGGGAACACTCTTGAAGTTAGCAGCAATTTTTTTTTTTTGTGGCATCTTGAGCTATACACAGTCACAAGCGAAACCTGACTGCTTCGCATGTGCTCGGGGGCCTCCCAGCCAGGTGGTTCTTCCAGCGAATCTCATTCTGTAAAACCCACCACACTCCAGAGGCCAGGCAGGTGCCTGGTAGGGAACTGAGTCCTAACTGGGACTCTCCATGGGCTGAGGAGGCCCACAACTTTCTGCCCGGGTGCACGGAGCGCCGTAAACCCTCCGGCAAGAAATGGGCGGTCCTGTGCTTCTTTCAAAGCCGTGACAGGTCTGGACAGGAACTGAGGGAGAACATGAAATCTGGAGGCTGGAGTGCCGAGGGGAGATGGGGGAGGGGGGGTTGGGGGTTGGAGATCCCAGGGAGAGGGGTGAAGAGCCCCTGTTGGAGTGGCCAGTGTGCCTGGAGGCTGGGCCTGATGACCACCTCTCTGGGGGCAGGTTTCCATGCTTCAGGAATGTGGGTGCAGCACGGATGGAAATCTCATACCTGCCCCTTGCCCAGGAGGCCAAATGATAACCCAGAGAGGCTTCAAGGTCCCCTCATCCAAAGGCTCACACAGCAGGGCAGTGGGAAGTGGTGGACAGGGAGGGGTTGGGGGGTAACTGAAGAATGTGTGCCCTTCCCCCAAGGTCCCCTTCCCCTGCTGCATCCGCACCTGTGGGCAATCAGGCTGTGCCACCCACAGTCATTAGTCGGCCAAATGGCAGGTGACACCTATTCTGGCCCATGCTTAAAAAATATTTATTTGGGGGTCAACACTGTGGCGCAGTGGGTTAACGCCCTGGCCTGAAGCACCAGCATCCCATATGGGTGCTGGTTCTAGTCCCGGCTGCTTCTCTTCTGATCCAGCTCTCTGCTATGGCCTGGGAAAGCAGGAGAAGATGGCCCAAGTCCTTGGGCCCCTGCACCTGCGTGGGAGATCTGGAAGAAGCTCCTGGCTCCTGGCTTCAGATCAGCACAGCTCCGGCTGTTGCGGCCACCTGGGGAGGAAACTCTGTCTTTCAAATAAATTTTTAAAAATGTATTCGTTTGTTTCTGTTTATTGAGTTTGACAAGCAGGAGGGAGGGTGCAGCCATCACTGGCTAACTCTCCAGCTGGTGCTGGGCCAGTCCATAGTCCAGAGCTGGGAGCTCCACACAGGGTTCCCACATGGGACTCAATGGTTGAGCCCCCACCTGCTGCCGCCCAGGTGCACATTAGGAGAGGAGTGAGGACTTGAACCCAGGCACCCGACACAGGATGCTGGTGACCGGAGTGGTGTCTGAACCACCAGGCCAGATGCCTGCTTCTCTCATTTCACAGACTGAGGCCCAGAGAGGTCAAAGGGCACATCTGAGGCCACACAGCCAATGTGTGGGTGCAGTAGAGACTCAAAGATGGCACAGGAAGCTGGTGCTGTCACCAAACAACTCCGCCCTAGACTGCTGGGTTATGTCTAGGGGCGAATGCCCTTTCCATCCGCCTTCCTGCTGGCGTGTCGTGCCCTTCACATGCATTGCACTCTTGCGTGCTAGATGGAAGGGGGCAAACTCCCTGGGCAGGTGCAGCTCCTTGCCCTGCCCGCCTCTTCCCCTGCTTCTCTCCCGCTCCAACCCATCCCACGTGCACTCCCCCAACCTGCCCCTGCCACTGGCTCTCTTCCCCTCCCCATCCTTCCACCCAGCCCGGAGCCACGATGGGACCCACTCGGATCCTCTGCCATCTTCCAGCCCTCTCTGGCTCCCCGGTTCTGACACTGTTGTCCTTCATCCTTAACCTGGAGTTCAGCTCCTGCCACCAGGCTCCTTAGGTCCTGCCCGTCCTTGGCCACTCCTTCATGACCCTCCCGCTGTGCTTGTCTGTTCCCTTTCCTGGCTTGCCAGGTGCCCGGAAGTGACCTTTTCCGCAGTCAGCTGGCCTCCCTGGGTGTGGACAAATGCAAGGCACAGAGAAAAGTCCGGACTGCATTTTCCCCGTGCCTTCGTGGGGCCAAAAATTATTTCAGTGGATTGCAACGAGCATTCAAAAGAGTAAAAGACATAGAATCAAAAACATTTGCATTAAGGGGCATCGGCAATGCCAGGACAAGTACTGTCTGTGACACTTCGGCTTCCGTTGTCCCAAGTCTCCGTGTAAAGCGTATTTCTTATGGTGGGCTGCAGCCAAGAAAGTGTGAAAGTGAGAGGAGGGAGGGAAGGGTACAGGGATCTGAAATATGGTGGAGGCCCAACTGGCCCTGAGCCCTGGAGCTCCTACAAGCCCTGCGGGCGGGGCTCCCACCCTCCCCACTGTGGAGGGAAGGGGCGTGGCTCGGGAACCCACGGCAGGGACGGTCTGTAGAAGCTTCCAAGACTCACCCCCAGCACCCTCAAGCCTGCTACAAATCAAAGGCTGAAAGCTTAATCAGTAGTAATCAAGAGGAAACGTTTAAAAGGGCTATGATCCTCCAGAAAATTTTCCATGCAATTCCACCTGTGACTTCTCCAGCCCATAGAGCGAAGCCCAGAGGACCCATGGCAGGGGGGTGGCGCCAAAGCTGGGAAATCCACCGTCTTCAGTTGGACCATCGGATGCCACCGCTGAGCATGGCCAGATATGAGCCTCATGCCCGTGGCCTGGAGCCGGGTGAGCTGCCACGCGTCCCGCCAGCCTCAGCTTTGGGCAGGGACAGCCGCACCCAGAGTCACTGGCAGTAGAAGGTGAGCACGTTCTCCTGGTTGCCTCGGATCAGGATGACAGGGGGTCTGAGGTCCTGGGACAGGGTCTCCAGCCAGGCCATGTACAGGGTGCTCGGGCACTTCCCCTTCCTGCCTATGGGCAGGGTGCTGCGGGAGAAGAGGATTCGTTACCCAGGGACCTCCTGTACAGCCCAGCCGAGGCCCAGTTTCTGAGCAGCGGGTCTGTTTATTGCCCCCCACCCCCACCCCCACCCCGAAAGGATGCCCTTCCTGCTTTCCTTCAAAGCGTTACTCAAAATGCACCTGCAGCCAGGAGGATTGTGAACAAAGCCATCACCTGCAAGGCCTACAAGATCTGGTCCCCACCAGGCCCACAACCCCACCTGGTACCATGCTTGGCCTTACACACATCCCTACAGTTACAATGGTTTCCTTTCCAGTCCTTAAAAAGGGGGGCCAAGCTTACCTCAGCCTCAGGGCCTTTGCGAGTGATGCTCTCACCTCCTGGAAGGCAGTGCCCCCAGCTCATTGCCTGGTTGGCTCACTCAGGTCTCAAGCTGCCTAAATTCATCTTCTTCCGTGATGGCTCTCCCCCGAAGCAGGCCACCTGTGTCTGTCCTCACACCACCCAGCAGAGCTCTCTGCAATCTCACAGGCATCTTCAATGTATCTGTGATCCGTCTCCCCCACTGGCAGGTGCACTTGGCCCATGAGTGGTCTGTCTCGTCCCTCCCCCACCACCCGGCTTTGTCCTGTGCCTGCAACAGCTTCCAGTACGATTGGGCTCAGTGTAATCTAAGTGAGTGATCCCCCTCCCCCACCGGCCACATTAGGCCGGGCTTCCTTCTCCACGTTGTGGCCTGGACAACGTGCTGTGTTCACATGATCCAGCTGAGTGTCCTTGGCCTGCCTCCCACTCTGTGTGCACGGCGCTGGGAGCAGGGCTCCACCGCGGCCTTGGGAGGGCCCCTTGTCCTAATTGTGCAATGCTGTGCGAAGAACAAGCTGCCCTGGGAACGCTGTCTTCCTAGGGATTTCAGGAAGGAACTTTTCCTACCATCTCGAGAATTCCAAAAATGTACCGGGTTGGTTGCAGCTGCCGGCCCTTGGCTCCCAGGAAGGGCAGCATCTCTCGGGCCCAGCTGGCGCTGTGTGAAGTTGAAGCCCCAGCATCTAACACAGAAGTGCACTTGACAGTTGATTTGTTTCCCCAAAGGGCGGCCACAGCTGTGATTTCATCAAAACCTCAAAGCAGCCCTGGGGAATGGGCGGGGCCAGCAGCTCCACCCTCCTTCCGAGCCTGGGGAACCCAGGGCTGGGGTCAGAGAAGTTGCCCCGGGGAGTCCTGGCATTTGGCAAAGTCCTTCACTGCCTGGTGCCCCTCAGAGGTGAGCGAGCTCTAAAGCAGACCACCCAGGGCACAGCGCCATGGAGGGGGGGCCGGGCACATTGCAAGCCCAGCAGGAGGTGAGCAAGCCCGGGCAGAGCCTGGACTCCAGCCACGCAGGGATCCTCTGCTCCCTGCCACCGCCCCCGCCCTCTGGGAAGGGTCATCGGATCCCTACACAGCTGCCTCTCCCGAAAGTCCATCTGGCCGCTGGCTTCCTGTACATAGCAAGGTCCTGAGGACCGAGGGGGCGGAAGAACCAGGGCCTCTTGTTAGGCCTCTGTCCTGGCGCCAGTGCATCCAAGGGAAAGGGAAGAGGGAATATTGAAACCAAACTCCTGATTCATCGTCACGCCAGAGGGTGAGAATGCCATGCAGGGATTACGAAGGGACTTTAAAAGTTCCACACAGGGGCCAGTGCCGTGGCTTAGTGGATAAAGCCACCACCTGCAGTGCTGGCATCCCATGTGGGTGCCAGTTTGAGTCCTGGCTGCTCCATTTCCAATCCAGCTCTCTGCTATGGCCTGGGAAAGCAGTGGGAGATGACCCAAGTGCTTGGGCCCCTGCACCCACGTGGGAGACACGAGGAGGCTCCTGTCTCCCGTCTTCAGATCAGTGCAGCTCTGGCCACTGCAGCCATTTGGGGAGTGAACCAGTACATGGAAGACCTCTCTTTCTCTCTGCCTCTCTGTAACTCTGCCTTTCAAATAAATAATCTTTTTTAAAAAATAAGTTTTATGCAAAGTTCACATTATCTTTTCATTCATGTTTCTGTGAATTTAAAATTTAAAAAAAAATTTTATTTGCAATTTATCTGAAAGGTAGAAGGAGACTGCTGGTTCACTCTCATATTTGCAAAAGCCAGGGCTGGACCAGGCCAAAGCCAGGAGAACAGAACTCAACCCAGGTCCTCTGAAGTGGGTGACAAGGACCCAAATACTTGAGTCAGCTGCTGCTCCCCAGGGTGAGTATTAGCAGGAAGCCCGAAAGCTGCAGGGGGACTCGAACCCAGGTTCCGATATGAAACGCAGGCATTGCAAGCAGCATCTCAATTGCTGGGCCAAACTCTCGCTCCTCTGTGAACTTTGTGAGGACCCCTGCACCCCATTATTTTCTGGGACTGGATGCAGAGACTTCAAAGGTCACCTGGGGAGCAGGTGCCTGCCTGGTCCGGGACCCGGGGACACCTGTCACCACCCATGCGGTGTGTACTTGCTCGCTTCAGCGTGATGTTCCCTCCTGCGCCCAGAGCCGACCAGGGCACAGCTGCCAATCATTGACGCGCCCTAATCCTGCTCGCAGGATGTGCATGACTGAGGTGCTAATCTTTAGGACTGAAGCCACTCCAGAACAATGGCATTTTTTGCTCAGAATTGGGTCTCTTGGCCACAAAGAAAGGCAGCCTTAGAGCGAACCAGTGCCTGCGTTGGGAGCACGGTCCCAGGCTTGGGAGCCCGACCCCACCTGCCATCTCGGAGATCCTGGGCAAGTTGTTTAACTCCACAGAGGCTGTTCCTTCATCCCTAAAATGGTTAAAATACAGTTCTGAAAATTAACAATATCCGATGCCTCAAGTACCATAGAGGCCCAGGCTATGAAGTGCAATGTTGATGACAGTCACTTGGCTTTGAGACAGGACTCTCCTAAAAAAAAAAAAAAAAAAAAAAAAAAAAAAGGAGCGGGGCCAGCGTTGAGATGCAGTGGGTAAAGCCACCGCCTACAGCACAGCGTCCCATAGGAGCACTGGTTTGAGTCCCGGCTGCTCTGCTTCCCATGCAGCTCCCTGCTGATGCACTTGGGAAGGCAGCAGAGGACGGCCCAAGGACCTGGGTCCCTGCCACCCACCTGGGAGACCAGGATGAAGTTCCAGACTCCTGGCTTTGGCCTGGCCCAGCCCAGGCTGTTGTGGCCATTTGGGGAATGAACCAGTGGATGAAAGATCTTTCCTTCTCTGCCTTTCAAATCAATTTTAAAAAGATGGCCAGCGCCGCGGCTCACTAGGCTAATCCTCTGCCTGTGGCACCAGCACCCCAGGTTCTAGTCCCGGTTGGGGCGCCGGATTCTGTCCCGGTTGCTCCTCTTCCAGTCCAGCTCTCTGCTGTGGCCCGGGAGTGCAGTGGAGGATGGCCCAAGTGCTTGGGCCCTGCACCCGCATGGGAGACCAGGAGGAAGCGCCTGGCTCCTGGCTTTGGATCGGCGCAGCGTGCCGGCCATAGCGGCCATTTGGGGGGTGAAGCAACAGAAGGAAGACCTTTCTGTCTCTCTAACTCTGCCTGTCAAAAAAAGGGGGGTGGGCAGAGAGAAGGAGGAGGGAAAGGAGAAGGAGAAAAGAGGTGTCTGATCCAGCAGGAAGGTTGTCAGGCCGGCCAGAAAGTGCTGGGCTGTGTGCAGGGCTGGTGAGCAGCTTTGCAGGCACAGCCCATCTCACACACGGCGGTGATAGTCACGGTAGTCGCCAAACAGCCATGTGCTACTCAAGCCAGCTCTAGCAAACGGCCCCAGAGGCTAGCCAGAGTGATCCTATCCTTTGACGGATGCTGGGAGGCTGTTTGCTCTCCCCAGCTCCCAGGGAGTGCAGGTTCCTGGGCGCCACTGCGGTCCAGGATCTAGAAGGAACTGAGGAATTCGAATTTTCCCCTGGTTCTGATGAGGCTGACCCCCCAGTGAACTTTCAGAAACCCTGGCCGAGCCTCCAAGTTGGAGATGAACGGTGCAAAGAGGTGACTGCTCCGTGCTCCCAGGGGTGGGGGGGTCCCTTTGGGCAGCAGCTGCGGCTGCCGATGTTGGGCGGGGCGGGCACAGGCATCTGCTCCCATGTGCTCTTTTATTTGTATCAGCTAATCCCACAGGGGCGGTGGGCAGGAGGAGGGAGCTGGAAGGGACAGGTGTGAGCAGATGGTCACCTCCTGGGATCACATTCCTCACTTTCAGGACAAGGATCACAGCGTGAGAGAGGGTCTTAGAAATGATTCCTCTGAACTCCCTTGTTACACTTAGAGACACCGAGGCGGCAGACAGGAGCCGACTTCCCCTCCCACAGAGGACTAAATGTCAGACGTATTGCAACGCTGCTTCCCTGGGCGGAGCCGGCCCTCCTGAGGCTTGGGGTTGGCACATCCGTGCACCCTGGGTGGCACCCACACCATGGACTCCGCCCAAGGAAAAGTCTGTGGAGCCATCCAGGCTGAAGCCGTTGCCACTGTCATGGACTCTGACCCAGACCCGCCCTGGGTGAGCCTGGTCTTGCAAACATTCTCTGCGAGGTGCTGGCCAGACAGTATGGAAGCCTTGCATGGAAGCCCAGCCCCTTTCTTTATCTTGGTTCTCAATAGGCTTCCCTTGTAGGAAAAAACCTTCCCTCCCCCCAGCCCCTGGGAGCGTGGTTGTGCACAGCCAGCGTCCTGGGTGTGCAGCCAGTGCACGGCCTGCACCTCTGGGCTCCCGAGGGCTCTGTGCTTGGCTTTCTGCTCTGCTGTCACCAGGCCGACTCTGCTTCTCTTCAATGCCTTAAGTCCCACAGGAAAGTGTTGCAAGCGAGAGCTCCACCCAGCTGGGAATGAAATCGCTGGCTGAGAAGGGCTGCGAGCCCCTCGTCCTGCTGGGGACGCGCACGCTGGCCTCGGTGGCCTCTGAGGCCTGGGCAGAGCTCAGTGCCAGGGAGGGATGAGCAATGGCCAGCGTCGGGCCCCGGTGCTGTGACGCCATCTGCTGGCCAGAATCATGTCCACGAGACGGGGTGTTAGGGATCATTAAGAATTCTGTCCGTCCCCCCCCCCCCCCCCCCGCTGGTGCATACAAAGTGGCTGGATGGGACCAAAAGTTAGTAGGACTGCTACTGCGGAGTACTTGGGTCCCCCCAAGTCCCAGGGTGACATCTGTACCCCCAGGTGGTGGCATCAGGAGGTGGCGTCCTAGGGTGATTAGGTCCTGAGGGTGGAGCCCTCAGAATGGAATTCGTGCTTTTACACTGGAGGCCCCAGAATGTCCCCCGGCAGGCACCTCCCACCACAGAAAGGCCCCGGGGGAGGCCCAGGAAGCTGGCCCTACCCAGACACGGAAACTTCCCAGCCTCCAGAACTGAGCTCGACAGCTGTCTGGTGTCTGGTGGCTGCCCAGGGAGCGCCGCCCAGAAGGCTTCCGCTGATTCTCCAGCCCTGACGCAGGGCCTGGGGCACGGTTTGAGCATCAGCTAAGCACACCTGTTGCCGACGGCACTCTGCGCCTTGGCGGACACAGATACGTTACCGCCGTCTCGGCAGCGTGGAGCAACCACGGCCGAGTCCTCTGAATGCTCGTGGGGTCTGCAGGCCTCCCACGCTCTGGCTGGCTGCTTAGCTCCTGCCGCGGGCAGTAGCCAGGAAGCTGGAAATCAGCCAGGGGCGGGGTGGGGGTGGGGGTGGGGGGCTGAGGAAAACAAGGCCCAGGCGGGAAGGAAGGCAGCAGCGTGGGAAGCCGCCCAGGATTTCACAGTACAAAGTCCTGCCTGTACCCCAGTGACTTACAGCTGGTCCCAGCCTGCCCCACAGGGAGGCTCCCCATGAGAGTCCTCCCTGCTCCGCACCAAGTGGGTTCTTTAGCCTGATAGCGCTGGGCGGTAAAACCTTCACAGCCTTCCCTGAGGCCGGCACCCTGCCCGGAGCCCAGCTGACAGCGATGAGCAGGGAAACCGGGGGGGTGGGGGTGGGGGGGGGGTGGGGGGTGGGGGGGTGGGGGGGTGGGGGTGGGGGGTTACCTAATGCACGCTCAGCAAACCCTCTGTCCTGGAGAGGAGGGAGGAGGAGGAGGAGAAACAGCAGGAAGAACTGGTCTCTTCCCTTATAAGCCCCAAGCTGAATACAGACCCAGGCTTGGCTCTCAGCTCTTTCCTGCACCGCCCGCCTGCTGCCAGGTGTGGTCTCTGCATCAGCCCTGGGAACCTTGCTTTCCCAGTCTGACTGAGTAGGCAAACTCTGAGATCCCATCTGGAGAGGCGCCGGCTGTTCTGACGGATGCCCCGCCCCTTACACCTCGATACCTTGCTTCCCGCCCCGTCTCTGTCTCAGTCTCAAACCTGAATTCTTTCTTGTGCAAAGAATCTGTTCCTCTGATCTCCACTAGCACATCCTCTCTCCAGACCACCTGCTGGCATTCTTAGCACCTGTTGACAGTCCTAGGCCCTGGAAGCTGTGCAGCCTGTCCTGGCTCGGGGGTACGGACAAACAGGTCCAGCAGGTCCTCCGCTGTCCTGTGGAATTCCCAGTTACCAGTCTCTCCCTCTGCACTGCCAACTCCAGGAGCTTGGATGGCCGTATTCTCCTTCCTACTGGCCTCAGAGAGAGCAGGGCCAGCCGAGACCCTCTCTGGACCACCGTCACCTTCCACCTCATCCTCCACTCACTCAGCCCTGGCTCACACACACCACCGGCAGCTCCGGACTGGACACAGGTTCAGTAGGACCAGGGGCTGGGGCAGGCCTACTATTTCAGGAGGAGATGGCCGATGGCCTCAGAGGGCGGGGCGTTCCCCAAACAATCTGGAATCAATTTCCTTCTGGAATGAGCTGGAACCACCCCCTTTGCCAAGCAGAGTTAGGCAGGAACAGGTGGCAAACCTGGGAAAAGCAGTGAGGAGAGGCGGCCAGTGATGCCCTGGACATGGGAGGCCCCAGACCCCTGCCAGCTGGCGCCCAGGCCAGGGGCGTGGGGCGGATGCAGACCTGGCCGTGTGCTGAGAATCCACCCAGCCAGGGCCCCTCATCAGAGCTGGCCTGCCAGCCGGCCCTCCACCGCGTTCTACTCACATGACGACCAGAGCGGCATCCCGGGAGTAATCCAGCAGAATCTCATTCAGCCTCACCTGCCGAAGGGACTGGGGCGGGGAAGGCAGGCGGTCACTGCCACGGCCCCGGGGAGCAGCCGACCCCTGCCTCTGTTTCCCCCTCATTAGTTTAGATTCTCCTGCTTCCAGGGAGGAAAGGGACCCCAGAGTGATTGCACACCAAGCGTGCCTCCTGCAGGAGGCCTTCCGTGGTTTCCCCTTGCCTGACTTTATTATCACGCCAGGAGTGACAGAGGGATGGGAGAGCCCCTCCTGGGTTCAAATCACAGCCTAGGGATTTCCTGGCAGAGAGCGCCTCAGCAGGTGTTGGTGCTCCCCTGAGCATCCTGTCTTCATCTATACAATGGGTATGACAATGACCTTGCAGGGGTCTCCGGGGAGGCTCAAATGAAATCCCCTATGCAGAGCAGTGTGGAGACACGGGGTGGGGCGGGGAGCAGGACATTGTCCTCCTGCGTAATAGACGACGGACAGCTTCTCTTGGACCCTACACTCCGGCGTTTGCCAAAAAGCCAGGTGGTTTCACAAGCTCTTTGGGACAGGATCCCAGGGCACCAGATGAGGGAGTTCCCCAAAGCCTGCGTGGGGCCGGCTTGGGGCACGCTTCCTCTAACCACAAGGCCTGTCTCCAGATGGTTCAGAAACGATGCTGGCTGCTTCGCTTTAGAGTGGAGAGTTCCTGGCTGCGGAGCTGTACTGTACTGCGCAGGGAGCTGGGCAGCACCCAGGCCTCTGCCGGTGACATAGCAGCCCCTAGGCTGACAGTAGTCAGCCAAATAGTCCCCATCCCGGGGGTGGGGGCAGCAAAATCGCCCCCAGTGGAGAACACTCAGGGAACAGACTGACCCCAGCCTGGCCCCAGCTGTTCCACCATTCACCAAGCCCCAAAAGGCCACAGCAGCTGGTTTTTAGAAGTTCCCACCCCCTCTCTCAGCCCTCAGCAGAGTCCTGAAGGTGATGCCTAAGAAGGAGGTGGCCTTGGCCTTGGGCTGCATCTGTAGGGTAAGGGGGGAGGTCAGCTGGCATGGCTGGCCCAAGGGACAAATCTGACTCTTACACTGATCCCAGGAGTGCCTCCCACCAGGCACAGAGGAACAGGGGAGGAGGAGGGAAGGACTGGGGGCAGCCCCCGCCTTCTGCCAGGGCCACCCCAAACCAGCAGAAGGACACGTGTCCCCTGCCAAGGCTGGACGGCAGGGAGCTCCACAGCCAGGTGTCCCTTGGCCCAGGAGTCTGTGGCTTAAGGACGCCTCAGGGGCTGGCAGGGCACAGCAGGTTCCAGGTCGAGGGGAGAGAGGGTTCCGGAAGCTTAGGACACGAGGACTCATGGCCCTGGGGGTCTGGGGCCGCGCCGTGAACCCCAGCGCCCCTGCCCCCAGCAGGCTCCTTCCCGCTCCTGCACCTTGATTCTGTTCTTGTTGATCTCCTCATCTGAGATCTTCCAGGGGCAGTCCCGCCTCATCTCGGCCACGGTGGCCTCGTCCTTGAAGCCGTCATTGAGGCGGAAAGGCGCGATCATGTCCTCAAACCTCTTGGTGCTAGGGACAAGAGAGGGCAGGAGGCTGGGCGGGAGGGCCCGTGTCTGGGGGAACCAGGTCCCTGCAGGGAGTTGGAGGTGGGGCACACGGCTCAGGCTGTAAGCCGTCTGCCACTGTCATTACACTGCGGTGGCGTCCGTGTGGGGTTCAGCCTGACCATTAGATCTGGCATCCATGCAGACGTCCACGAGGCGCTCCAACGACCGAGCTGGATGACCCCACTACCCTCTCCACTCAGCAGCTCTTTTCTGAAGCCCAACTCCTGCCAACAGTGAGCCAATTACATTACGTTCCCCATCCTCACAGGGCTCATGGTCTTTGGTAGAAGCAGTAATCGTGAAGCAGAAGTTTGACAAAGGTACAAGTGGGGCTGGGGAGGGCCATTCTGGGACCTGAAGGAAGTTCATCCTTGCAAAGCCAGCTGGGCGCAGGGCAAGGGGCACAGGAGCCATGGGACTGGATATGCAAAGGCCCTGAGGCAGAGCCTGGCAGGTGGGCCTATGTGAAGAGCAGCAAAGGAGACACTGCAGGGCACACAGCCGGCTTTTTGGTACCCAGAATGCCCACACAGAACACTCACTGCTCAGCCCGGGGCTTCTGGTTGATGTCAGGAAGCACATGAACTTCGTGGAATCCCAGTCGAAATTTGCTCAGCAGAGAAACCATCCTGGAGGCCACAAAGATTTTTTTTTTTAAATACACTCATTCATTCAACCAGTTTCACTGAGCACCTGCCATCTACAGCAGCCAGCAAGACAGATCAAACCTTGCCCTCACCAAGCCGACATCCTAACTCGGAGGTAGAGGAAGACAAGACTCGGCTCCCGGGATGGCCCAGGCTGCACTAGGGCCGCTCACACCAGAATGCATCTCCACACCTGCTGGGCTCTCCTGGCATGCCGGCTGGGGCCTGGGACTCTGCATTTCTAGCCAACTCCCAGCGCACACAGTGCTGCTGGTTCACGGCCCACACTCTGAGCAGGAAGGGAAGGGGGACTGAACAGCGGAAATGATAAGAGTGGTCACAGAAACAGAGGTAACACGAGAACTGCAAACAGAACCGGCAGGAGCCAGCCCTGAGTGTGGCTTGGACTTTGTATCCATCGAGGAGAAGCCTAGCTGTGATGTGAGGCAGTCAGGGAAGCCTTCACAGAGGAGGTGGCACTCTGGCTGGCTGGTGCACGTGGGTAAGATCGTTAGAGGGCAAAGGGGCAGGAGAGCACCCGCGTTGGAATCACTCAAGGAGCCTTGAGAAACTGCAGCTGCCTGGGCCCTGGCCCAGCCATTGAGTCAGAAGCTCCAGACCGGGCATGGGTGGGTGACCACCTCCGGATGATTCCGGGGCGCCTGTCTGGGAAGGAATCCAAGTGAGCAGGGTGGGGGGTCAGGGGCAGCTGGACAGGGCAGGGGAGGGAGGCAGCAGGGGCAGACAAGGCTGCGTGGCCAGGCAGGGGGCCAGCAGGTGCCACTGCTGGTTCCTCCACTGGGGCCGTGGAGTTTTGAAAGCAAAGCTGCAAGCAGGGGCTGGCTGGCTTGGGGCGGGCAGCTGCAGAGAGCAGACATGGCAGCGTGTTCGTAACCTTCACATTGAAGGCCACTGTTACTGAACGGCGCCCGGGCCTTGAGCTGAGCTAACCCCACTGACCCAGCTGCCACCCAGAGTGGGACGGGACGCTGGGACTGGGATGCCACCTTCGTGGTCTGGGGACGTGTGGGAGCTTCCGAGGTCATAGGCTGCTTTCCCCACACAACACTGTCCTTGGCCTTGCTCCAAAGGGGTCTATAGATGAAAAAGTTCTTAGCAGGGTGGGAGAAGCAAGATATGGGATGGCTGGGTTTCCCTGAACTTGTGAGGCAGTGGCCCGAGCAGGGCGTCCAGGTACACATGGAGCTGCAATCTCAGCACAGGATGAGGATGGCGGAGGCCAGGGGTCCCTCCCGTCCTAACCTGGGTGTCATGGCCAAGGTCACTGCCAGAGCACTAGACACTAGGCAGGGACTCCTGTCTTCAGCTACGGATTGCATGACGGGGGGCAAACCTCCCCATCGATCTGCACCTTCCTGTGGCCTCCAGCTGCACCTGCAACCTCCCCTGACCTCGCCCAACTCCACCTGCCCAGCTCCTGCCTCCTGCACACCTGCGTGCCACCTGCCTACTGTTTACTTTCTCTCCTGTTTCAATTAGCTCCCATTCTGGCTTAGAGATATTTTGAAAGGAAGTTTTATATCACAATTTAAAACACAATTTATATCACAATTGAAAAAAGCCAGCATCTCTTGCCAGAAAGAGGAGACCATTAAAAACCCTTGTGGATAAACTAGCGTCTCTTAATTCCGGCCAGGTGTCGCTGCCCGCCAGCCCCTGCGCCCAGGCCTGCTTAGCAGGGTGGGAGTTAGCTCTGGCTACAGCAGAAACACAGGCCAGGCCCGAAGCCATCAGCCCCAGCAGGGAAGGAGAAGGAACAGCCACTTATCTCCAAAGGCTACCGTGCTGCTGCCTGCCCTGTTTCTGGCCTACATCCCACACCTCGGGGACACTCCTGGGAGGATTCGAACCCGCACATCACTTCTGGGGCTGGGGAGGCCCACTCCAGGCTTTGTTTCACACCGGTTTCTCCTTGGAGAGATTTGCCGTTTGAAAACTTACCAGCCCTGCCCGTCATAGCAAAGACCAAGGTGCCTGTGTCTTATCAGAGGGGGCTGGGAAGCCACAACACCGTCTGCGATGGAGAGGAAATTGCTCTGCCCAGAGCCCTGTCCAGCTCCGCCTGGCCTGGACAGACCCGGCCCTGGGCCTTGGGATGGGCGCCCCAGAGATGGTGGTCAGGGGTTGGTGGGGAGACAGCAGGTAGCAGCCTGGGGTGGGGCACCAGGGCTGCCCTCCCCACTTACGCCTTTCTCTCCTGGTCCATCCTGTTGATCTGGCCCCCAACAAACACGCGGATCTTGCACCTGCTCCACCTCTTCTTGCGGCCGAGAAGGTAGGGGATGAGGAGGGTGAGGCCTGGTAGAGAGGATCCCGGGAGCCAAGAGAAGGCCACTCTCAGGATAGAACACTGTGCCGGCTCCCACCCCATGCTGCTGCTAGCAAACCCCTTCCCTGGTCTGGACCTCAGTTGGCCCACCTGCACAATGGGCACACCCAACTAAACCCCAGGGGCCCGTGGTGCTGCCTGGGACAGGGTTCATTTGGCCTGCGTGATGTTCTTTAAAAGTTGAATGACTGGGGGGGATTGCACATGGAAATCTAGGCTATGGACAGGTCTCCAAACTTGAAAATTTGACCAGTGGAGGTGGCAGCCCTATTGTCTCCCCAGACTACACCAAGGACCAGCTGTAACCATCACCATGGACTCTCCCATGCCTCAGTTTCCTTAATTGTAGAGAGGGGTTGGTAATAATGATCCCTGCCTGGGGACTGCATTAGGTTAGCCCATGTACAGCACGGGGTGGCTGGGGTCCGCAGAGTGAGTGTCCAGCTTTTGTCAGCTGTCACTGAGAGGGCGTGGCGTCATCCCTAGGTATCCAAGGGGAATTGGATCCAAGACCGCCCCATGGATTCCAAGATCCAAGGATGCGTAAGCAGCTTATATAAAATCAAGTATTTCCATATACCCTTCCCACATCCTCCCATGGACTTTAAATAATCTCTAGGTTACGCATAACACCCAGTATGATGACAACGCCGTGGGAATAGTTGTTACACCGTAGGGCATAATAGCAAGCAAAAAGGCAGACGCATGTTCCACACAGATGAAAATGTCCCCCCCAGTACTCTCAACCTGCAGCTGGTGGCGTGCAAGGGTACAGCAGCCACAGACACATAGGGTGCACCGCGTTCTCTGGGGCTAAGATCTTGCACTACGGCTCTAAAACAGGCAGGCGCATTTTCAGAACAGGAGAGGGGTGTCCCTTTGTGAGTGAAGACTATGCCCCAGCCCGTCTACCCCACTGACGTCACGTGCCTGTGGCCCACGAAGATTCTGTCTTACGTTCACCCCAGCTCCTTCCTTAAGTTTCCCCACTGTATAGCAGAGAAGCTGGAGGCCAGGGACAGGGCCCAGCCAGGCTGGCCCCAGGGGCCTCGTCCCTCTGTGCTGGGCTCTGGGTCCCACTGGAGGCCTTGACCCGAGGCTGTCAGGGAGAACTGGCCGAGAGACGCGGAGGTGCAGAGCGGTGGTGGCCACGGGGAGTGCGGGGACCCTGACCTCCGTCGTCGAAGAGCCAGTAGATGTCGATGGTCTTCTTGCCCTGCTCCAGCTGGAAGACAGTGCTAGCCTGCTCCTCCCGCGCCAGCGTCTCAGGCTCCGCTGCGGGACAGGGGCAGGTCAGAGCAGAACAGGGCACAGGCGAATGCCTCAGCCGCCTGCCAACAGGCCTGCGGCCCCGGGAGGTGGGCAGGCGTCCATCACCCGGGGTGTGCACCTGCGTCTGGGCAGGCCTGGCCGGAGCACTGTGCAGGCTGTTTCTGAAGCTGATCATGAGATTCTCAGGCCAGGCCTGGGGCCTGAAGCACTCCAGCGCGCCCTCTGTGCTCTCAGCTTCTCCCTTCCAGGATTTGGGTGGGCACTGGGGGGAGGGGAGGAGAGTCCCAGTACCTCCTGGGGCAGTGCATTGGCAGAAGCACATAGTCTGTGTGTGCTCTTGCACCTGCTACGGGTTCCCTCCTCCTGGGGCTCCAGTGAAAACTGCCTGCCCTTGACCAGGCCCCCAGGGGGCCTGCCATGAGCTGTCTCCCAGGGGAGAGTGCCCAAGTCTCAGAGTGGCTGACCTGTGCCAGAGACGGCTGGCCTGGCCCCACCGGTGCTGGCTGCCTTGCCGTCCTCCGCTGGGTCGAATGTGGGGTTAACTGCAACAGAGGGGGACAGCCCTGCTCAAGGCTCTCCTCCCCGGGGACATTTCAGGGTCCCCAGCACAAGCAGGAAAGTCCTGCCCCTCACCCGGCCCCTGCCTTCCGCCCTGGCTCTGCACTCTCCACCACATCAGGCTTCCTCCTGCTCCTTCACAGGTCAAGTTCATGCCCACCTCAGGGCTGTGGCTGGAGGAGCAGGCTCCTGAGCTGAGAGCCCCCTTCCTCCCAGCCCTGCCCCTCACAGCAAAAGAGGGGCCCCTGGTGACCTTGGCACCCTGCCATGCCACCGGGGCTTCCTCAGGAGTCTGCTTGTTGAGCATCTTCAAGGGCAGACAGATTTAGGGTCCCTGCTGTACCCCGAGAGCCTGCAGCTGCGTCAGTCTGAGCTCAGTGACTGCGCTGCAAAGTGGCTGCGTGCAGGTGACTGACAGCGGCTGGGGGCGAGGCCAGCCCCAGCCCTGTCTGCAAAACCCCCAGTGCCTCCTTCCTGCCACTCCCAGCGCCGCCCTCTGCTTGTTTTCAAGTCTTTCATCTCTTCCAAACCTCAGAGCCTCAGGACTTCCGAATGTAAAACACAGCCCGCCCGTGCCCCAGCACTGCTCTTTGAGCCCCAGTGCCAAGTCTCTGTGGCCTCAGTTATCTCCCAGGGCCTTCAGCCAGGCAGGCTCCTCTGCTCTCTGTTTCTCTCTGCATGACCTGCTTCATGCCACCTGGTTACGAAAGCACTGAGCGCGAGTGGGGGGGGGGGGGGCTCTGAGTTCCACTCCTGGGTCTGCCCCCAGGCCCCACCGGCCCCACCGGAAGCTGGTCACTCCCCCTTTCTGGGCCTTGCTTTCTGCATTTGGAAACCTGCTGGGCTCTGAGGAACCATCAAGGGCTGGCTTTCTAGAAATCTGCCACTGTGGCTTCCTTACTAATTGTTCCCTCTTCTCTCCACGTAAAAAAAGCAAAAGGTTCTAGAACTTTCTGAGGTCTGTTCCAGTTGTTGGTTTACATTTTACTTATTCATCTAAGAGACAGAAAGACAGACACAGACAGGGCTCCCGCCTGTTGGTTCACACCCCAAATGCCTGCAACAACGGGGCTAGGCCAGGTTGAAGCTAAAGCCAAGCACTCCATCCAGGTCTCCCACGTGGTAGCAGGAACCCAGGCACTTGAGCCCTCCCACTGCCTCCAGGGTCTCCATTAGCGGGAAACTGTACTCAGGCGCTGGAGCAGGAAACGGACCCAGACACCCCGATATGAGACGCAGGCATCCTAACGGGCATCTTAACCAGTCGGCCAAACGGGCGCCCTCTTTCTGTTTTTGCTGGGGGCTCTGAGCAGGCGCGGCGCGTCCTTGCGTACTCACTGTGCGCCTGCATCACCTCCGAGACGTTGAGCCCCTCCCGCATCCGCAGGACACACACGCCGTAGCTGAGGTCAAAGGCATCGCTGCAGAGAGGGGAGGGGGGCTCAGGCTTCTCTCGGCCCGGCCCCCCCAGGCAGGCGACCTGGCTCCAGGAGACCAGACACCCGGAGTCGGTCCTTCCTCCTCCCCTCCCTTCCTCAGGGCCTCAGTTTCCCCATCGGTAGAATGTGTGGGCAGAACGGGAGAGCTCCCTGGAGCTCTGCAGCCTGTGGCCCCGTGGAGCCCGCAGGCCTTCTCCTGCTACACTCAGGCAGTCCTCCAAGGTCACTGTCCCCACTCCACAGGTGCAACTGCTGACTGCTGGGGAGTCACTTGCCAGTGACCCTCCACGCGAGGGCAGGACCGCCTAGGATTAGGATGATCCAGCTGAGATTACAAACCAGAGGTCAGGCATGCGCACAGACGTGGCCTCGCCCCTGCAGTAAACTGTCTACACGGGATGCCTACAAGGTCTCTGGAAAGTGTGTCCTGCCTGGCCTGCCATCTGGGTTTGCTCCAGCAGCTTAAGCGGTGCCCTCACCAGTCATGGGGACTGGGACGGGCAGGTGCCTGTCTTGGAATGTGTTGGTAGGGGAGTGGGAGTGAGAGGAGTGTGGGGATGAGCAGACGGCAGCCGAGGCAGCAGACACGGGTGCTCCCCACCTGCGGCTGGGCAGCAGCAGCAGATCTGGAGGTGGGCTCCAGCGCCCCTGCCCCCAGCCTCGGGTTCCCTAACCAGACTGCACACTGCCTCCCTGGGAATGCCTGGCATTCCTGGCACCGTGTCCCACAAGAGCTGAAGGTGACCAGGTCGGGAGTCAGCTTGGTGTCACTGTCCTGTCCCAGAGCCTTCTGAAGCTCCCAGGGCCCCCAGTGTCCTTACCCTCAAGCCTACGTTTTCAGCGACAGAGCAGGTGACCCTGACCCCACATTTCTGTCTGGGCACAATCGGCCCAGCCAAGCAGCTGTGCCCTCCCCAGCACGCCACACTCCCCACTGCTCCCTGCTGGCCCACTTCACCCTTGGGGTGGCTTGCCTAAGCCCTGCCGCCTGTGGTGTCCACGACACCCCCAACCTGTTTCTTCCCCAGTTTTGAGCAAGTGAGCTCAGCTTCCCAGGCACAGGAAGGGTCCAAGGCCCAAATCAGCAGAATGCAGGTCCCCCCTGCCCCACCCTCACTCACTGCAGGATGCCGATGTAGTCTTCCACCGTGGCCGGGTGAGCCGCCTGCCAGTTCTTCTTGAATCCGACCACCAGGATGTTGGGCTTCATTCTCCCGAGCCCTGAGGCCTGCAGGGTTGGGGTGATGTGGGGGATCAGCGGGGCTCCCTCCTGAGGCAGCCAGAGCCTTCCCAGCCCCAGCTGTGCCCTGGGTCATGCCACAGGGGCTCAGGAGTGAATCCCCCACCCTCACTCCCATTTAGGGCCATCTCTGCCTGGACACATCTGCGAGAGAGGAGGGCCAAGGCTTGGGACGTCCCATTCATTGTGGATTATCGCAGCTCCTGCTTGTCTAACAAATTATTTCTCATAACAAGAACCTTGACCTTGGCTGTCAAGCCTAGAGTTTGCCTGGGTCATTGAATCCATTCATCTTTCCTATTTCTCTCTCTTTTGAATGTTTAAAATTTTTAACAGGTTTGAGGTGAAATTTACATAACCAAATTGACGGCTTTAAAGTGGCATTCACAATACCCTCCCCTGTATTTTTATAACCCCAAAAAGAGAAACCCCTATGCTTTTTTTAAATTGGGGAAAATATTCAAAGTATCAAAAAGCACTGTTATTTGTTGGCTCAGGAATGAACACTGTTATTTTATTCCCACATCTCATTTTACACGAGCATAGAGAACAGTGAAGTGAATTTCCCAGCAGAACATTCTAGATCTGGATCTGAGCGGTGGTGTTTACGTATACAAACTTAACGTGTGTCAATTATGTCTTTAAAAAATTAAAGCAGGGTGGGTTTTTGGCACAGCAGTTAAGACTCCGGGGCACTCACATTCCATGAGTGCCTGCTCTGAGTCCCGGCTCCACTTCTGAGTCCAGCTTCCTGCTAGTGTGCACCCTGGGAGGCGGCAGGTGATGGCTCAAGTGCTTGGCTCCCTGGCACCCACATGGGGGAGTCTGGGACAGAGTTTCTGTCTCCCAGTTTGGCCTGGCCCAGCCCTGGCTGTTGAGAGCATTTAAGGGGTGAACCAAGGGTGGGAGATCTCTCTGTCCTTCTGTCTGACTCGATCTCTCTCTCTCTTTGACTTTCAGATGAATAACATGCATTGTAAAAAATTCTTTGTTAAGAAAATCAAAGCTCGGCAGTTGCGGGGGCCCAGCATCAGTGTGCCCAGAGACACAACACAGGCGCGTCTTCCACGCAGGCCCAGCTGTGCTGAGCAGTGAGCCGTCCCAGACAGCACCTGCATGAGGCTCTGCACGCCGCTGCGCAGGTCCTCGGCGGCGACGTCCGAGTAGAAGGCCTTGATCTTCCTCTTGTTCAACCACTTGGTGTGACCACTGGCGATGAGCCGCAGCTCTGGCATCCTCTGCTTGCGTGGGCCCTGTGGGTGATGTCATGAGGGGCTGCCTCCGCCCTCCAGCCTACATCAGCCCCTCTCCTGCCCTGGAGGCTGCCCCAAGGGCTCCACGGCACCAAGACCTTGCCTCCCAGGTTCCTTTACAGAGCTGGGGGGACAGGACCTGGGGAGGGGGTGGGCATGGGGATACAGAGACAGGCAGCAGGCGACAGGCACATTGGGGAAGAAGCCTGAGAGGGCCTGGAAAGGGGAGAGACTGGGGAGCAGAGGAGCCCATGGAGCTCTGCTTGCTGCACCCCCACCCCTAGCCCGGGGGCACTCACGATGAGCACGTGGCCACAGATCATGAGGCTAAGGTTCTGGGTGAAGGTGCCCACGAAGTCCACCAGGGCCGGGCGGAAGTTCGGGGGCCCTGTGAGCACCAGGCACTGGGGGCTGAAGAGGGGAAGGGAGAGGAGCAGGAGCCATCAGGAGAGCTCCACCCCCACCCCAGGGTCTGGATGCCCCAGGGTGCCCCAGGGCTTCCACCGCCTCCCAGGTCTCCCCTGAGCCACGGGTGGCCTCAAACAAGGCTCTGCAGGCTTGCGGTTGTTTGGCTGTGACTCCAGGGTGACTTCCGGGGCCTCTGCAGCAATTTTGATGGCCACCTCCCACCAAGGGGCATCTCTTGTCCTTTCTGCTCAGACCACCTGTGCTCTTGCCCAGGCCAGTCGCCGGCAAACTCACCATGTAACCTGAGCAGGGGATCGGGCGGGCCTCTGCGTGGGGAGGCAGCAGAGGGTCATGGCCAAGGGCCTCTGCAGAGTGCAGCAGCCATTCACCTGCTGTGTGACCAGGCTCTGCACTCTCGGGGCCTCGCTGTCCCTGACTGTGACCAGGTCAATAACATTGCTAGCCTGGGGGTGGGGGTTACCAGGAGGCCGTGCAGGGCACGATGCGAGGTACCTGGCTCACGGTAAGTGTGACAAACCCAAGGGGACTCAAAAACATTTGTGGGAAAGTAGAAAACGAGCTTATTTTGGCTTGAAGGCAAAGAAAAAGTCACGCCCAGCTTTGTCATAGAACACGGTTTCCAGGAACTTTTTGAAGTCCCCGCAGAGAGCCTGCAGGGGACACGGCATGGTCCGGTGGCCGGGAGTGGCAGGTGCATGATCACCCTTGTCAAGGAGCAGAGCTGCTATTGAAGAGGGCCTGAGGAGCCCGGTCACCCCCAGCCTTGTGGGATGGCTGTGCTGGGAATTCCAAGTCACCCCATGGCAGGGCACGTCCTGCTGCGGATGCTGAGGGACAGCGGTCCCTCCACTGGCTCAGCACCCCCTCCCCCCGACTCAGGCCTGCGGGCCGAATGGCTCTCCCCCACCTCTGGCCCGTCCCCGAGTGGGGCCAGGCCCACCCTGGCTCTGCCTAGGTCAGGCGACAGGTTGAGGCCTGGGGTCTCGGGGGCGGTGCCCCAGAAGCTCTGCTCACCGGTAGTTCTTGATGTGGTCCTCCACCTCATTGAGGCCCACGGCGTAGCTCAGGGCCAGGTTGTAGGAGCCAGCCTGCACTGAGGAGCCCCAGTTAACCTCTAGGGGAGGGAGGGTGAGAGGAAGGTGTGAAACGGCCAGAAGCCAGCCACGTGGAGGAAGGGGGTGGGGAGGACTGTCAGCCTTCTTCAGCCCTGGACACCTGTGGGAGCGGGAGCACCTGGCAGGTGGACACCTGTGGGAGCGATGTCCAGGAACCCTGCTTGCTGCACGGAGACCCCTGCCCCATGTCCAAGCTTCGTCCTTTCAAACAGCCACCGCTTGGTCACCCCCCGAGCCCTGGGTGAGCACACCAGCAGGTGACCACTCATGGGAGGCTGGCCCTGGGGAAGGGGCTTGTGCAGCCCTGGGGGCACCCTGGCCAGAGAACTGTTTGGTCCCGGGAGCTGGGGTGGCCGAGCAGCACAGGTGTGGGCTCTGCACAGGTGGGTCTCTTGGGCTGCTCGCCCGGTGGGGAGGCACGGATGAGAGGGAGCCATGGCGGGCGCAGAGCTGGCGCATGGCAACCTCCAGGAGGGAGAGGTGGGCGCCCACCTGGCTTCTTGTAGATCACGTAGAGCAGGAGAAAGAGGATGACGCCGATGGCGATGAGGGCCGCCCACCAGGTGAGGAGGAACATGATGACGACAGAGACCACTGCCCCAAAGAGTGCCGACCACTTGCTGTAGTATCGGAAGGAGGGTCTCCACCCTGGGCGGGGGGCACAGGTCAGTGGGGATGCCCCCTTCCTCTGGAGATGCCTCCTGCCAGAGTTGCTGGCCTGGGGCTGGGCGGCAGTGTCCCCGGTGCCCAGACCTGGGTCCAGCCTGTGCCCCCCAGCCATGGGCATCAAGGGCCCCATCCACTCTGCCTCTTGGGACTGGTCCTCCGGGGAGGACCACATGCCCCCTCCCACCCCGGGCTGGCATTTCACCATGTGCACAGGCTACACCACACAGCAAAGGCTCAGCTCTGGCCAGGCAGGGCCACAGGATGTCTAAGATGGAGGGAAAGGGACACTCTGCCCCAGCCCACACCATCGACTGCCCGCCCACAGGCTGCCACCAGCCACAGCCACCTTGTGGCACCACGCACACCGTGGCCTAAGTAAAGCCTGGCCTGGTAACGGGCCCACTGGCCATTGGGAGCTCATTGGCACCTTGTTGGATGGAAGCTCAGTTACTTCCTCACGTTTTATCGCAGTGTGGCGAATGCAGTTAATACCAGAACCTTGCACATTTCCAAATCGCCGAAGGTCCTCACCACAAAGAACGTTAAGTATCCGAGGCGACAGAGATGTTAACTGCTTTCTAACCATTCCACCTTGTATTCATAAATTATATCACCTTTTACTCCACAAATGTATACAACCAGAAATCATCAGTCTAGCATTTATAAGGACTCTTTGCTGCCAGGAGAGTTTCATCATAAACATACAAATCTATGAAATCTATGAGCAACGCCCCCTAGAGCTATGCAGTGTGCAGCCTGCAGTACTGTGTGAGACAGCCCCATCTGGGATTTGGGGCAATTCTCTTCCCTCTCTGGGGAATCAGACTCCTGATTGGTGAGGGAAGAGACTAGAAAACCCTCTGCAGACTGTAGATGCCGATCGACTCCCCGCACCATGCCCACGGGGCACGCAGCACACGGCACAGCTGCTGTTATTATTGTCTCCCGGTGGATGTTCTCTGTAATGGGGGTCAGGTTGAGAGGTGGCCTGGAGCTGCCCACCTCCGCCCCTGCCTTCCATCCCACCCCATCCCCCCAGGACGCCCGCCCCTAGGAGCCGTCTCCGTGCAGGGTGATGGGCGCACTTACCGGGGGAGTTGGTGATGGAGGCGTGGAAGCAGCTGAAGTTGATGAGGGCATAGGAGCACAGGAAGAAGTTGGAGATGATGGGGGCGATGGTATTGAGCTCGGCTTCAGGGACCCAGGGAAAGAGAGGGCAGCCTGTGGGACAACTCCCCGGCACCTTCTCCCACAAGGTGGGGGGCCCCAGACAGGCCGCCGAGGCTCAGTTAGTCTCAACCTTCTCATCTGTGAACTGGGCCCATCATTTTTTGAAGCACAAAAGGATGCTGTCTTGTAAACTGTGAGCTGCTGGCTTTTAGAAGGGTGGAGGGCAAGGTGCGAGTGGACCCCATGGAGCTAGGGAAGGCCCAGGGCAGGGGCTGTCACACGTTTGTTTAAAAAAATTATTTATTTATTTATTTATTTGAAAGGCAGAGTGACAGAGAGAAAACCTTTCATCCGCTGGTTCACTCCCCCAAATGCCCACAAACAGCCAGGGCTGGGCCAGGATGAAGCAGGGAGCCTGGAACTCCATCCGGGTCTCCCAGGTGGGTGGGAAGGACACCAATACTTCAACCACCATCTGCTGCCTTCCGTGAGTATAGCAGGGGGCTGGATGGGCAGTGGCAGAGCCACATTACGCAGGCGCTATGGCGCAGCGGGTGGAGCTGCCACTCAGTGTGCCCGCGTCCCACACGAGAGGGCCCTGCTTGGGCCCTGGGTCCTCTGCTTCTGACCGGCTTCCTGCTAACGCACACCCTGGGAGGCAGTGACGATGGCTCAGGTATTCCTTCCCTGCCCGCCGTGTGGGAGACCAGATGGAGTTCTGCGCTCCTGGCCCAGGCCTGGCCCAAGCCTGGCCGTTGTGGGCATTTGGGGAGTGAATCGCAGATAGAAAATGTCTCTCTGTCTCTCTGCCTTTCAAATAAAATGAAAAGAAACAAACAGGAATTTTAGAAAGGCAATCTGTTAACTGGGCTTTCTCCTAAGGCACCCCCCCCCCCCCTTAAGCCCAAGAGGTCTAGAAATGCAAGGTCCCAGAGGCTAAGCTGCTCTCACGGAGACACCCGCCAGGACGCCCACCCTGCCGTCAGTCTGTGCTCCAAAGGAGTCCTGGGGTTCATTTCGACCTGGGAGTGGGGGCGGAGGGGAGCCCCGCTGAGTCACCTGGGGGCCAAACCAGGGAAAGCAAGTGACATCCCTTCCCCCTTCCGCCACAACGCAGAGGTCCACTTGCCAGGCAGGGCTGGCGCCCTGGGGGGAAGGGGCGGGGCCTTCCAGGTGGGGCCACGCCCCTCAGGAGTTACCCCGAGGCCAGGCTGGTGCGGGGCCTGAGGGGAGGGGGAGGGGGAGGAGCCAGGGCGGAAGGAGCAGAACCCGCCGTCTCCCCGCAGCCTCTTACCGATGATGATGAAGGCCACGGCGATGGCGTAGGCCAGCAGGTAGCCGCGCACGGGCTCGTTGTTCTTGCCGTAGCCCTTGCCGAAGAAGCCGATCAGCGGGTACAGCTGGTCCTCGCACAGGCACTGGGGGCACAGACGCCGCGCTCGCCCCGGCAGCCGCTGGCCGCGGTGCTGCCCCGCCCCGCCCCGCCCCGGGATCCCCGGGCTGCCGCGGCCTCCGCAGGGCGCGCACCCCATCTGGCTCCCGATTTCTGTTTCTGTGAGGTCCGTGCTCTCCCCACAGCCCGAGGGAGACGGAATGGGGACAAACAAGAGGGGTGAACCGCATGGGGGGAAACTTGACAAGAGCAGACAGGCTGCAGGAGGCGAGGCCCGGAGCCTGGCGGGAAACGCGGTCACAGGACACCTCCGAGGATTCGCCACAGTCCCCGGGGACCCACCACCCCCGCGCAGCCCCTCCGCGGGCCCCACCTGGAAGACTTTGGCTGCGGAGACGAGGCAGGCCAGGGCAGAGGAGAGGGTGGCCCCGAAGATGCCAGCCGTGATCAGGGGTGCGAAGCCGGACACCATGCTCATGGTCTGCAGGGACGGGGTTCAGGGGCACGCACAGTGGGGGGCTGAGCTGGCAGCGCTGCTTGTGGCGCCCTGGTCCCTGCTGCGGGCAGGAGCTGGGTCCCTGAGCCCTCATCTGAGCTCAGACCCTCGCCTGGGGATACCAGCGCCCACCCCCAGATGGGCAAGATGCAGGAGCGGCACCTGCGCTCTGACCCGCTCTCCTGCAAGCCTGGGGCCCAGCCCCCCAGCTACATCGGCACAGGCCTGGCCCGAGGCCCTGTACCTGGTAGTAGTTGATGAGGCCGTAGCGGCAGCTGTGGCGCTGGGCGCACTCAGTGAAGTTCCAGCCGTAGCCGCAAGCCAGGCCCTCGCAGGCACCCAAGCCAGGGGTCACCGTGTCGTTCAGGTTCCCAGATGCATCGCGTACCACACAGGCGCCTGCGGGGAGGGAGGAGGGGGTGGGGAGGACTCCTTGTGTCCTCCCTCTGCCCACCCAGCAGCGCCAGCCACGTCCTCTGAGGGCAAGGCACTGCGGGAGGCTCAGCTCCCCTCATCTTGATACAGCGAGGCTGATACTAGCCCCGCTCCATCCTGTTGTCGGCCCAGCTTACAGAGGCACAGGGACCCGCCCAAGGTCACAGTGTCCTTAGAGACCTGGGCCTCCAGACCTGAGTGGAGGGAGCGGGGCCAAGTTTCTCAGCCATCCTGGAACAGCGCGCCTCCAAGGGAGCGCGTGTACCTGGCAGGCTCAGTGCGGAGCAGGCACTAACCGTGCAGTCTCTCTGAGCCCCCACTTTGAGGGCCGTGACAATGCCTGGGTTGAATGTGATAAGGGCTGTGGAGGACTGGGCAGAGGTAAGGCAGGGGCTAGCATCGTCGTCCTCACCCCCATCAACATTATCATTGTCATCATCACCACCATTACCGTCATCACCGTCATTCCTGTGGTGCAGCTGTGATCTGTTTGGCAAGATCCTCATATCTCTGAATCTGGAAACTCAAGGTCTGAAGGACCGGAGAAGCCTGGTCTGGCTCCCTGCTCCCACCAACCACAAACTGCCCCCCTCCATGGAGATGCTCAGGCCATGGCCAAGGTGACCGAGAGGCTCAGAGCTCCACTTGCAGGGGTCACCATGTCCTGCCAGCCAGCTCTCCCTGGGAGAGTCAAACCTTCCCCTTCCGGCTCCAGCCAGTGGTCAGAGCCCCTTGGACACTGCAAAGGGGGGAGGGGCTGGTTCCAGTCCCTCCTTGAGCAGTGGGGCTGACTACTCACCGATGGTGGCCGAGATGGCCAGGTAGGAGACTGTGGTCCAGAAGATGGCCATGAGTGTCCCCTTGGGGATGGCCACAGCAGGGTCCTGTGGAGTGAAGGATGAGGGGGAGTGGCCATTGGGAAGCCTCTGGGATTCCTTCCAGACTCCCGAACTTTGTAGAAGCTGAGGGGGGGACAGCACTCCTGACCTTGGGCCCTCAGAGTCCCCTCCAGTACGGAGAGGGAGGACATAGAAGAGGACAGACACGAGATCACAGGGCCAAGACCCCATCCGGAACCCGAGGTGGGGGAGAACATCCCACTCCCCACACCTGGCCGCTGCAGGCACTTGGAGGGGAGGGGAGGGTGGGGACAGGATGGCAGGGTGCGGGGCCAGCCTGCTTAGCGGCAGCTCCAGGTGGCCCTCTGGGCCGTGCTCCCAGCCCCAGCCCCCATCTGTAAGCGGGGTGACACAAAACAACTGCCAGGGATGTTGGGGCCAGGAGTTGATCCAGGCTGCTGGACCCAGACCCAGCTCACCGCCAGCCCGCACGACGTGGGAAACGTTAGCCCTCAGCGATTTGTCTGTCCCACAGCAGCACACACACAGGAGCGGAGGACGAGCCTCCACCTCCGTCCTTCCAATCCGCGAGAGGACGCTGTTGCTTTCCTAACCGCAATACAAACCTTCATGCACACACGCCACGTGGTCCCCTCCCTGGGCTCTTTCTCAAACATCATCTCCCCACTTGGCTGGTGGGGAGACTGAGGCAGTGCGCCGTGAGGAGGACCTGGCTCTCGTCCTGACCTCAACCAGGTCCACAGCCCCTGGGCTACGGGCCTTGATCCTGGTGTCGCCACGCAGGCTGGGATTTTTACAGCAAGTTCAAGACCCGATCCTCTCCCCCAGCACAGACCCAAAACCGGAACAGAAGGCCACGCCTTCCATAGAACTCGGTCTGTAAATCACCCCAGCTTTCCCCGGGCTGTTCTGCCCACAACCCAGGCTTCAGGTGGAACCACAGATTAGAGACAAGGCCGGGAGTGGGGCAGCCAGGGGAGGTGCCATGGAGGGCAGGCCAGAGAGAGGTGGGGCAGGGACACCTGGCTGGAGGGAGGCTGGAGTCTGGGGGCCCTGAGGTCTGCCAGGGCCTCTGCTTTGGGGGCCCTGCAGCCATGACTCTGCCAGCCCTGCCCCGTGTGCCAGGATGGCTTCACTGGGTTGTGCTCACGGAGTCCCTGGCCCCAAGGCCAACAGACCAGGCCAGCCTCCCACCCTACCCCCAGCGGGTTGAAGAGGACTTGCATCGGCTCAGATGCTCCAAATGGATTTTTTTTTTTTTGACAGGCAGAGTAGACAGTGAGAGAGAGAGACAGAGAGAAAGGTCTTCCTTTGCCGTTGGTTCACCCTCCAATGGCCGCTGCGGCCGGCACACCGTGCTAATCCGAAACCAGGAACCAGGTGCTTCTCCTGGTCTCCCATGAGGGTGCAGGGCCCAAGGACTTGGGCCATCCTCCACTGCACTCCCGAGTCATAGCAGAGAGCTGGACTGGAAGAGGAGCAACCGGGACAGAATCCGGTGCCCTGACCGGGACTAGAACCCGGGGTGCCGGCGCCGCAGACGGAGGATTAGCCTAGTGAGCCGCAGCGCCGGCCCCAAATGGATCTTATTTGGAAATAGGGTCTCTGCAGATGTCATTAGCGACGACGGCATCAGGGTGGGCCTTAGAGGTAACAACAGGTGTCCTTATGGGAACCAGGACTCTCGGAGAGACAGAGAGGAAAGAAGGCCACAGGAGGACAGAGGCCCAGACTTCAGGCAGGGACGCCACTATGGGGAGCCACCGGAAGCTGCCTTCTCCCCGGCTCCTGCCAACATGGTGGGCTTCTGGCCTCCAGGGCTGTGAAGAAGGAATTTCTGCTGTTTTAAGTCGCCAGTCGGCGGAGATTTCTGACAGCAGCCACAGGAACCAGAAACACCAGCCCTCGACCTCCATCCTGACACCCACACCTTGGTCTGGCTCTCAGAGGCTGGCTCACACGGCAGGTGTACCGCGGTCCACATGCCAGCCCTTCTCTTCCTAGCTCTGTGCCCTGAGAGAAGCCCCTTAACGTCTCTGAGCCTGTCTCCCCATCTGTGCCAGCAGTAAGCGCCCATTAGCAGGAGTTAATAGGGGCTGGAAGAGGGCCCTGCACATGGACACAGTTGGATGACAAAGTGGCTATGCTGCAGCTGAGGGCTCTTGGTTGTGGAAACCGGCCCAGGGCTGGCCTCGGCCTCTGAGTCTCTCTGAGCTTGGCCTCCTTCTCTGTGTCATGTAAACATGACCAGGATCACAACAAACTCAGCACTTCCGGTGTGCCGGGCGCTGTTCTAAGCACTTTACATGAACTGAGCTCCTTGAATCCTCACCAGCACCCTGCACAGCCTGGGCTGTATTGCCCCATTTTACAGATGGAGCACCTGAGGCCCAGGGTCTGGAAGTGAGGGCTCCACGATTGGGAGCTGCTCCGCTGCCGAGGACACGGTTCCACTGGATGGGCCAAGGACCACGTCCAAGAGCCAAGGTCCCAGGCCTGAGTGTGCTTAGGACAGAGCAAAAGTGCCCGCTTTACCCAGTTCTGAGATGGCTGCCTGGCCCTGGTGCCTGCACACTGGGCCCATTGGCAGTGGAGGAAGCTTGAGGAAGCATTGGATTCCCGGGTATCGCTCTCGCCTGGGGCTCAGAGGGGAGCTGGGGTGTCTGAGCACAGCCCCAGCCCCTGCAGAAACCCCGGGGGCAGTCACACCAGGCCCCAGCCAGCCCCTCCCTGGGGACATCTGGAGTGGACCAACGCTCCAGTCCCCAGGCCAGACAGAGCCAGGCCAGCATCAAAACCATGTCCTATGCACAATTCTCCATTCATGTAAGAAAAGGCAGCAAGAAGCTCCTTCCGAAGGGGCCTGGAGGTGGGGGGGAGGGTCGGCCATGATTCCCAGCCCAGTCCTGGGTTCCTTGCCCCACCCCTCACCCCTGATTCTCCCGCCTGTCAAAGCCCAGCTCCTCCTCCGGCGCTGTGGCTCACTTGGTTAATCCTCCGCCTGCGGCACCGACATCCCATATGGGCAGCCGGGTTCTAGTCCCGGCTGCTCCTCTTTCAGTCCAGCTCTCTGCTGTGGCCCAGGAGTGCAGTGGAGGATGGCCCAAGTGCTTGGGTGCTTGCACCCGCATGGGAGACCAGGAGGAAGCACCTGGCTCCCGGCTTCGGATCGGCGCAGCGCCGGCCATGGCGGCTATTTAGGGGGTGAACCAACGGAAGGAAGACCTTTCTGTCCCTCTCTCTCACTATCTATAGCTCTACCTGTCAAAAAAAAAAAAAAAAAAAAAAAAAGCCCAGCTCCAGCCCCAGTGCTACCTAAAGTCTCTGTGGAGCCTCTGTGGCCACCAGTCTGTCCTCTTCCCCTGGTGCAGCACCGCGTGCGTCTGCTCATGTCAGCACTGCTCAGTCCCCAAGCAGGGACGGAGCCCCTAGTACGTCACACGCTAAGCCGGGCACAGAGCTTAGAGCCAGAAGGATGTCCAGTGGCTCTGGGAGAGATGCTGGGGGTGGTGTCTGGAGGGGGAACACCACGTCTGGAGGGAAAGAAGCGAGCGTGGGGAGTCCCAAGCACAGCACAGGGACCGGGCAGCACATACTAAGCACAGCTCCAGGGATCCCTGGACGGGCAGACTGCAGCCTGCCACCGTGGAGGCGGTGAGAACCCCAGGGCAGAGGTGGGTGTGACAGGGCTGAGTTCTGGAAAGGCCCAGCTGGGCCAGTCTCCCCCGGAGGCTGAGTCCCAGCACTGGAGGGAGGACCAGCCCAGCGCAGGGTGCCCCTGGAGCCTGGGGCTTGGCCGGCATTAGTCAACGGGCTTGGGGCACCTGGGTTTGGATCGCACTGCATTGGGCTGAATTGGACTGGACTGGAGTCTGGAAGCTCTGCCCCGGTCCCAGTCCCAGCCAGACCCTGCGAGGACAGGGAGCCAAATTCTGCTCACGGGACACAGGAGAGGGCGGGGACTCTGCTCACCTTGAGGTCCCCAGAGATGTTGGCCCCGGCCAGGATGCCCGTGGCCGAGGGGAAGAAGATGGAGAACATTCCGAAGAAGCTGCCATCGACGCCCCGCCAATCGGGAACCAAGTTCTGGACAAAAATGTCCCCTGGAACAGCAAGGCCTGAGTCGGGGCCACCTGGAGGCTGGGCCTTCCCCACCCCCCGGCTGCTCCCCGGCAGCCCCCGGCCAGGGCAGTGCGGGGTCCCACCCTCCTGAGGCACACACAGTCTGTCCCTGTCCCAGAGACACGGCCACCTACCCCGGTAGCTGAAGAAGCCTTTGGAGGCCTTGTCCTCCGAGGGGGGGATCAGCGTCCCCACCAAGTAGTTGGTGAAGGAGACCATGATGACCAGGAAGAAGAGCACCTGGGCCTGCGTGGGAAGACCCCAGGGTCAGGCTCGTGCCTCCTCTGCTGGGAGTCCCCCTCCCCCACTCCCACCCCACGGAAGAGGTGGCACTGGCCCCTCATTCTGTTAATTCACTCACTCACTCTTGTATTCATTCATCACCCATGAAGGCAGCTGGCTCATTCAAGGATCAACAGATACGGAAGTGAACTAAGGCCTTTTTCTCTTTTAGAGATTTATTTCAGATCAGATTTACAGAGAGAGAGAGAGAGAGAGAGAGAGAGAGAGAGAGAGAGAGAGAGAGATCTTCCATCTGCTGATTCACTCCCCAAATGGCCAAAACAGTCAGGGCCAGGTCAGGCTGAAGCCAGGAGCCAGGAACTCAGTCCTGGTCTCCCAGGTGGGTGGCAGGGACCCAAGTACACCTGCCATCTTCTGCTGCCTTCCCAGGTGAACTAGCAGGAAGCTGGCCTGAAAGTGGAGCAGCCGGGACTCAGATAGCGCTCTGGCTTAACCCACTGTGCCACAGAGCTGGCCCCAGTACCCAACTTCTGCCTTCAGGCTGGAAACATGGCTCAAAGAAAGTCTGCACTTCCCAGACTCCCTTGCAGCTAAGCGTGGCTGTGAGATGGAGCTCAGTTCGGTGGACACGAGCCAGAGGGACCTGTGCAACTTCCACGGCCTTCCACTCCACCCTCCTGTGGACATGGTGGTGGTAGCCTTCGTGGGCCAGGCGGAGAAGGGCCACACCCTGGGACGGAGGGGCCATGGGTACCCAACCCCCGGAGCCCACTGCTCAGGCCGACCCTGCGCCTGGACTGCTGGGTGCGAGAGAAACGAAGTTCCACAGGCTCCCTTTGTCACAGCAGCAGGACCTCGGGCCTGGCTGGCTCACGGAAGCTTCTCCCCGCGAGCCCCCTCCCCCTGCCCCCTACCTTGGATTCCCACTCCATGCCGGCCAGGGAGATGGCCAGCAGCACGGTGACGGTGACCACGCCGATGATGCGGATGTCGTTAATGGGGTCCACGATGGGTGTGCCGTACTCCTGGCGGGGAAACAGGCCAGGCTGGGTGCCCCCTGGGAGCCCCCACCCCCGCAGACCCCACCCTTGGAACACCTAAGGTCTGGAGTGCCCTCTGGTGGGAAACCGCACACCCCAGTGCTTTCCCTACTTTCGGGTCCCCCCGTAGAGCGGCTGCACAGGCCTGGACCCTGGCCCTAAAGGCCACGTGCACCCCTGAAGGGGCTTGTGGGACCTGGCTTTATTTGATGAGATTGTCACTGTCATTCACAGAAATCAGACGTCCCTGATGCAAGGGGTCAGGCAGGAGGGCCCTACCAGATGGGGCAGAAAGGACAGGGAGGGCTGCCCAGGCTCGCTCTGCCCGGGGCCCAGCCCCCGCCTCACCTGGAGCAGGTCCCGCACAGTCTCTGCAAAGCCCACTGTGTGCATGGCCACGCCCACAGCATTGGCAAAGGAGAAAATGAGGCCAATGGAGCCCCCCAGCTCGGGGCCCAGACTCCGGGAGATGAGGAAGTAGGTGCCACCTGCCAGGGCCAGAGCCGTGAGAACAGAGGGGTCAGCTGGAGGCGGCGGGCTTGGGGCAGGGAGAGTCTGAGGATCGGGAGGTAACCGAAGCTGCTGAGGTGTGGAAGGCAGCTGGGGCCCTCACCTGGAGCCACAGGAGCAGCCAGGTGTCCCATGGGGCAGGGGGTGGTCCAGAGACCCAGTCCCAGGGTGAAGCCAGGGGAGCCTACAGGAGGAACACACTGGAGGGCGGGGCCTACCTGACTTGACCTTGCCATTGGTGGAGATGGCCGAGATGGACAGGCCGGTGATGGACGTCACCAGGACCGAGAGCAGGATGATGACCCAGGTCAGCACTGTGAGGGATGGGACGTGAGCACCCCCGGCCTCAGCCAGGCATGTCCCCACTGAGGGGCCACACGAGGGGCCGGAGTCTGCCTGCTAATTCACCGTATGCCGGAAGCCATCTCCCTTCCCCATGCCTCGTTTTTCTCATCTGAAAAATGGGTCTCTGTCCAGGCGCTCAGGAGCCAGCAGGTAAAGGATTGGGGGTAAGGGTTAAAAAGGAAAGTGCGGGCCAGCACCACGGCTCAATAGGCTAATCCTCCACCTAGTGGCGCCAGCACACCGGGTTCTAGTCCCGGTTGGGGCGCCGGATTCTGTCCCGGTTGTCCCCCTTCCAGGCCAGCTCTCTGCTATGGCCCGGGAGTGCAGTGGAGGATGGCCCAGGTGCTTGGGCCCTGCACCCCATGGGAGACCAGGAAAAGCACCTGGCTCCTGGCTCCTGCCATCGGATCAGCGCGGTGCGCCGGCCGCAGCGCGCCGGCCGCGGCGGCCATTGGAGGGTGAACCAACGGCAAAAGAAGACCTTTCTCTCTGTCTCTCTCTCTCACTGTCCACTCTGCCTGTCAAAAAAAAAAAAAAAAGAAGAAGAAGAAAAAAAAAGATAATCGAAAATGAATCTTGATGTGAATGGAAGGGGAGAGGGAGTGGGAAAGGGGAGGGTTGTGGGTGGGAGGGACGGTATGGGGGGGAAGCCATTGTAATCCATAAGTCGTACTTTGGAAATCTATATTCATTAAATAAAAGTTAAAAAAAAAAAAAAAGGAAAGTGCGCTCCTTTCGTAATCCAGAATGAAGCAATAGCCCCCGCTGAGCATCCCGGGTTCCGAACGCTGAGCTGTGCTCGCCCGCACCCTGGAAACCCAACCATGGTGGCTCCTCTTATCATCTTCCTGATGAGAAATCCGAGGCCCAGAGAGGTTAGGAAACATGCCCAGGGCACATAGCATGGAACAGAGCTGGCATCCGAACCCGTGTCTGGCCAGAGCACCGCTTCCTGGCTCACGAAATTGGCTCCAAGAAGCAAAGTGGCTTTCTTGGGGCAACACGCCCAGCACCTGACCACCGTCTGTGAGGCCTGAGGTCGCACCAGGGAGGAGTGGGCCTGGCCTGTGGTCTGCAGCCCCACTTCAGGCCTGCTCCTGAGGGTCTCGGGGGCGGGGAACCGGGACTCAGCGTGCCTCCCTGCCCCTGCCCTGCCCCGGGCGGGGCACTTACCAATGCCCGCCTGGGCCGTGATCCAGGGCAGCCGCAGGTAGAGGATCACGCCCCAGATGTTGAGCATGCACCGGATCTGCGGGGACAGGGGCGTCAGAGGCCACCCGAAGGCCGACAAAGCCCATCCCTGGGCAGGGCATGGCGGTGGGCACCACAGCCTAAGGGACACCTTTGCTTTGTGGTATCCACGTCTGCAGGCTCTGATCTCTGGCTTTGTTGGGGCAGGGGAGTGAGGGGCACCCAGGGACCCACTTGGACCCTCACACCCTTCAAGTCCAGGGGATCGGTGCAAGTGCGATCACTGCTTGGCTCTTCCAAGCCCAGGGTCCAGCCCCAGCCGTGACCCCAGTGAGTGGCCAGCTGTTGGCCCGGGGCCCGGCATTTAGAGGGAGCTCAGCTGAGCCGGTGCCCCACACACAAGCAGAAATCGGAGCTCCAGTGGCTGGAACCTCCGTGTCCAGATTTAAGGCCAAGCTGGAGGCGGAGGGAGGGGCTGCTGTGGTCTTCGGCCCCAGCTGAGGTTAGAGGGACGGGCATGTGGGTATTTCCAAGGCACTCCCTGGGATGCTAAATGGACCATGCCAGGCCCTGGGCCACCTGCCCCAGAGCAGCACTGGAGGTTTCTTCTACATCCCATGTGGTCCCCTCCATAAACTCCCATCACGGCTCCCAAAGCCAAGGCCACTTGACTCTGCTGTCCCGGCACTTGCTGGTTCTCTTCCCTACAGCAAACCCTTCCTTCCCTTCCATCAGGAAGAGGAAAACACCGCTTGCAGATTCGGGTGTTTCGTGCTGCCCCCTGGTGTCTGTGGAGAGAAGCACAGTTTCCTGGACTGTGCCTCTATTAACTCGTGGAATGCTCCTTTCACAGACGAGGAAACTGAGGCACACAGAGGTTAAGTCACTTTCCCAAGGCCACACAACGAGTGAATGGCCAAGCAGACATCTGCCCTGTGCTGGGTCTCAGGTTAAGGGATAAAAATTAGGGTCAGGAAGTGCAAAGCAGAGAAAATCTGAGGTTGCTGGGCAGAAGGGGAAACTGAGGCCTGTGTTGGACTGTGACCCTGCCCTGGGCAGCTTGCCAGAGTGAGAACTGAGTGCAGGGTCTCCCCCACCCTCCCGTGCCCCACTCACCATCACCCCCTTGACCCAGCCGAAGCGCACCGGCTCCCCAGGCTTCTCGCCGCCTGCGCCCGCCTCGTCCTCCACCAGCCCGTCAGTCATCTCGTGGCTGGGCCGGCTGTCGAGGGCCAGCACGTGCAGGGGGCTGCCTTCCTGTGGGAGCCCGGCCGGGGACCACGAGTCAGCCACGCAGGCAGGCAGGCAGGGCTGCGCAGCCAGCCGGAGATCCGCATCCAGCCCCTGCCTGCGTCACCGCGCACCACAGACCACAGCCCCGGACTCCTTGCCTCGCTAGCTATGGAGTTGCATGGGGATTTTATTTTTATTTTTTAAAAGGCTTATTTATTTATTTGAAAGTCAGAATTGGGGGAGGGGAGAGGTGGAGGGTGAGAGGGAGAGGGAGAGGGAGAGGGAGAGGGAGAGAGAGAGAGAGAGAGAGAGAGAGAGAGAGAGAGAGAGAGAGAGAGAGAGAGAGATGTTCCACCCGTTGGTTTGCTCCCCACATGGCCCGCAATGGCCAGGGCTGGGCCAGCCTGAAGCCAAGAGCCTGGAACTCCACCTGGACTTATAAAAAGCTCCATATTGGCAAGGGATGAGACACCATGGGAACAGGGGTCTGGCTGTCCCCTGGCCCCCAGGGCCATGGCCTTGGCGCTGACCAGGCAGCTGCGGTCTGAGACAGGGGTGTGGGGTAGGGTGAGTACCAGCCTGGAGAAGTGAAGCAGCTTGTTCAAGGCCACACAGGGGGTCCCTGGCAAGGCCCCTGCTCCGGGGCGTCGGGGCGTCGCTGAGTTCGTGTGCAGAGCGCCTGCAGCCCTCCCCAGGGGCTTTCTCCCTGGCACCCCCATCTCAGCAGCCCTGGATGGCCTTGCGGGGGCCACAGTGAAGGTTTGCTCGGGGATGGGGAGGAGTCATGTGCCTTTTCTGTGTCTCAGCCCCAGACCCAAGAACGATGGTACCCAGTTGTCAGGTGGGAAAACCGAGGCGGGACACAGGCGATGAGTCTAGCTCCCAGCTCTCCACCTTTCACCATCCAACCTCCCAGGCAGCAAACTCAGAGAGCCTGCACCCCGGGGTTGACCTCACGGCCCCCTTGTCTCTGTCTCCATCACAGTGTGTGTTGTGTGTGTGTGTGTGTGTGGTGTGGTGTATGTGTGTGTGATGTGTGTGTGTGGTGTGTATGTACATGTGTGGTGTGTGTATACACGTGTGGTTGTGTGTATGTGTGCATGCCTTCACTGACGGGCAACTCATCACCTCTCCCGGCAGCCCATGCTCCTTGTGGGCTACCAGTCCCTGGGCGGCAAACACCACAGCACCAGCCCAGAGCCCCGCAGCTGCTGCTCCCACTTCTCCCTGGGAACAGCTCGCCCGTGGGGAAGCGCCTTGTCCACCTCCACAGTGGCGCAGAGAGGCCGGGGAGCTGGGTGGAGGTCGCGTGGCAGGGAGGTGGGTGGCGCTCACCTTGAGGAAGGAGTGCAGGTCGGCCAAGGTGGGCCGGAGTTTTCGGGGCTCCCCGGGCAGGGTGCTGTTGGCATAGTGCTCGTAGGCGGGCACCACGTCGATGGTGTTGTAGCCAAAGGTGCGCATGTAGAGGCTGCTGCCCAGGGTCACGTGGCTGGCGTGGCTGCCGTCGTAGGCGGCCGAGGGCGGGGGCTCGTCGCCCACCAGCAACGTGCTGATGGTGAAGCGCCCACTGCACAGAGCCGGGTCCCCGGGGGTCTCCGACGCAGGCAGCTCTGCCATGGTGGCTCTGGGTGTCAAGGGAGGGGGCCAGGGCCAGCCAGGACGCCCGGGGTGGCTTTATAGGCTGGGCCCGCAGCAGGGAGGTTGGCCCAAACCGCCCATGGCTGGTGAGCAGGGTCCCCAGATAGGCTGGGGGGGAGAGCACGTGCCTGCTGCTGCCCTGCCCACCAGCGGATCATTGAGAGAGAGATGGAGGGGGGAGGGGGGGAGTGGGATGGAGGGAGGGAGGGAAGGAGCTGGGAGAGGAGAGAGAGACAGAGAGAGACAGAGAGAGACAGAGAGACAGAGAGGACCTGGGTCCCGGGACAGGCTTTTTCCTGTCCCAGAGGAGCCCCTTCTGAGTGATCCCCAGCTGGGACCCAGGCGGGACCCAGGCGGGAGCGGCCAGCAGGGAGGGCCCCAAGGAAGGCGAAGGGGGACACTAGAGATGTCTGGTGGCCTGAGGACCTCCCGGGGTCCCCACCCTGAGCAGGGTCCCCCCGCATGCCTCGTTTGTTTACTTAGAAGTTCCGAACACGTCGGTGTAAAGTGAGCCTCCCCCACCTCTGCCTCCCCGCGTCTCCCGCTGTCTCCTGGAGACGGCTCAGTGCCCGCAAGCCGCCCCATCCACAGCTCGGCCGCTCCTGGCTGTGACCCGTGGCCACCAGCGGGCTGGCAAGTCCCTGGGGCTGTGGCGGGGCAAGTAGCCATGGCCCTGGGCTCTGCCTGCAGGGCTGCAGGGTTCTAGACCCAGGGTCCCGGCTCTCCCCCTCCCCAGCAGCTCGCACAGATGGTGGTCCCACCCCGCGCCGGGCCAGTGCCCACTTGCCGGTGCCCTGCGGCCCTGCCGTGGGTGCTCAGGGGCACGGGGAGCGGCACC